ATGTTCAACAAATTTTTGCTGTAAAAATAAATAGGTGTTCGTCTTCAGAAGAGAAAAAAACTTAAATATAAACTCTTTGACATTTAACATTCACAGTCATCAGATGTACAAGAGTATTTGCATCAATTTTTTAAATAACTTGTTATTATTTTTTACGTGCTTTATTTTTATTTATTTTTATATTATGTTCGTATACACGTACAATGTATGCCCTACATACATGTATTTGTGCTTAATTGATATATTCGATTTACATTAATTTACATTTTAAATCATGCTTGTTATGCTTATTTTACTGCTACCAAATGTTTGCGATCTTTGTAGTGTTTTGTCAATTTATTATTATTTATTATTTGCTAATTTACATGTCAATATAATATTATAAAATAACACGTAGTTATATAGTAAGATTTAAACTTTAAATTTAAATTTAAAATTTGGTTATGAACCGATAAGTCAATTGATTAACATGTACTGCAAGAATTCGTTATGTAATTTATCCATTGCGATAATACGGCAATAAAAGTACTTTAAAGTACTTCGTTTAATAACAGAAGTTACAAGATATAAGATTAATACATTTAGATAGGTCATGTATGTACTTATATTTAAAATAATTTTGAATTTCGTAACCATTGATTATTTATTATTAGTTTTTTTTTATAAACATATTTATGCGAAAAAAAATAATATAAGTGAAAGTAACTAATACTAAATTAAAAAAAAATTAAACTCAATTAGTATGTTGATGTTGAATACTTACTATACTATGTGATATTTATAGATTTTCAATTTTCGTATCAGGTTATATTAATTTAATTTATTAGTCAAAAAATCTTAATCCATTTACAAAAACTGTTTGTTAATGAAGAGGGAATGCGAAGTGAATGCACAATATATTATTAAAACACAAATACGTTCTATACATTTATACACCGAGAGAAATAAATCATTGATTTAGAATAATTAGCGGTGAGAATAAGATAAGTTATCTTAACATTCTCGCCACTAATTATAAATATAAACTATAGGAAAACGAATAATTGACTTGTATCTTGTGCAACATTATAGTAGAAAGCATAGAAGTCGATTGAGAATCAAGAAGAATCAATAACGGATCCAGGGGGGTGTTGGGGTTAACCCCCTTACCACCAAAATCAGGAAAAATATATATTAAAAACCAATTATTTTATGAATTCAGCAAAAGATTTTTTTTTTGTAGTACGAGAGAAAGTATATACTTATAAGTAATTTGTATTTGTATTCATACAAGAAAATAGTAGTCTTAAATTTAAATGTATTGTATTTATATGTATTATATTATTTACTATTATCTTAATTCGTTATCAATCACCGACTGCAATGTTATAAAAAATAACCCAAGGGAAAACATTTTTCAAACCCATCTTCCACCAAAAAAAGAAAATCCTGGATCCGTCACTGCTATTCAGTATTTCAATAGAGACGAGATGAGATTGGCTAAATGAATATTCGGCATGCGAGAAAAACTAAATTAATTGCTGTGTTGGACAGCAAAGGTTTAATCGTGACGTGAAAAAAGATTTTTAAGCGCAATGACGATAGTCCTATCAAGAACTTGCGTTGAACTCTCTTTAGTCGACGGTAGTCACTGATAATGGAGAGATATTAAATACTTTACATATCTAACACTACTATCACAATATTGGTATTTCATGTTTTCTCGTTTTTATCTGAATATACGAGGACGTCACACGCATTCACTTATTGAGAATCTTATAAAATTATTCAGAAGAAATAAATTGTGTAATGTGAATCCACCACTTATTTTAAGGTATTAAATAGAAATTTAAATACGTGTACAATACGATACGGAGTGTATAACATAATAATATATTGTGTACGAGTCGATGTTGTATAATTATTGATAAAGCAAGTATAGTAAATATTATACCAACAAATGTATACAAAGTTTAACTGTTAAAAATGCTGTAGAAGTTAATAGCATTTATACATATATTATACAGATTAAGTTTTTTAATATTCACATAAATCGAGAAAAGTCGATTGCACGTTTTTATTGCGAAATATACAGATAGTATTATCGAGTACGTGACGTCTTCAAAATATGTTAATGATGATTTGGGAATTTCATATTTGATTTATTGTGTAGTTTCCTTATTATAATTATTTTTCGTTTAGTTTTCCTTATTCAGACCGTTTGTATGATATAATCTTCGAAAAAAGTACCAACGTCTAGATTGAGACGTTGCCATCACGTAGCTAGTAATAGTTAGATATATAAAAAAAAGATTGTTTGGGGCTGTGAATAACTTTGACTTAATTGGCTCACTCGGTTGCGCCATTTCATCATATGTACTTGTATCATTACTACATCCAAGGCCGTATCTAGAAACTTTTTTCAGGAGGGGTCCAAAACTTGTATAATTTAATTTTATTGAATTTAGATTTCAATTTTTGATATTTGGTTAAAAATAAGACAGGAAAAGATTTAATCTTCTTTTATTAAAATTAAATGCAGTCAAAGATTAATTAGAGCTTAAGTCATTTTTGACTGAAAATATTTGTTGGTATTAAAAATAAATAAGTATTTTAAACATTCCTAAACTATTGAAAAAATTTCGGGGGGGGGGGGGGGTCCAGACATCCTGGACCCTAACCAGATACGGCCTTGACTACATAAACGGATCCGAGAATTAGAAAATACCTCTACTAGTGAACGACTGTTCACTCGAAAAAATGTTCGGCAGTCGATTGTCAGCTGCAATCATGTAAAACGTTTGGCTAGTCGCAGTCCGTGTGTTCATTTCTGCGATCGTAAAATTTTCCGATATTCCGTCAGGCATAGAGGATGAATTGCAGTAGCATTCTAAGGAAATTGTTGATTAATGCGGATGACAAATCATTTAATTTTCAATAAAAACACACACACTCGCTCGCGAACGATACGTGATTTGTGTACACATTATCGCTAAAACATTACGATCGATGTGCGTTGTCTTTTCGAGGAATAAAAAACCGACCTTCGATAAGAACGAAACTCTCGGTCGTAGTTTTCGTATTCTCACGCACTCGTGACACATGGATTATGCACGTATGTTTGCCTAGGTACCGAACGGTTTAGAATAATTGAACAGATTTAGTGTACGCGTGCACTTGGTTTCAAATCGTTTTATTGGACACGATAACACTACCTACATACTGCGGTGTATGCGAAACGATGCGTCGTAATACAGTCTTACTTACATCCAGTGGCGTACATACGAGGGGATTCCCGGGTTCAAATCCCCCCCCCCAGGGCCAAAAAAAAAGAAAAAAAAATTGTTTTATTATTGATGACGTGTAATATATTCGTAGTTTCATTATTACGCTTTGAACTTGAAATATACAACTTTACAAATACTATAATAATTAAATAATTATATTGATAGGTGTTTGAAAAGTTTTGTTAACTATGCTGTTTTTATATTCCAATAGCTATTAATTTACTGTAATGTAAAAGTAAACTGTAAATTGGTAAAAAAGTTGTATAAAATAATATCTATTTATATCAGTTATTTATCTTATTTATCTGTGCAACGAAAAAAAAAAAGATAACGATTATTTTTTTTTCCCCCCCCCCCCCCCCCCAGAGCAAGATTGAATGTACGCCACTGCCTACAACTAACGAACTTCGACGGAACTCTTTACGTCCGTTTAACCACGACGTTTTCGTCGAAAAACTTTTCCCTCCAGCCAGTCAATAAACAACATTCATGCTTAATGAAATCTATATCTCGGTGTTGTTATGAATCACGGCAAATCAAAGTTTCAGTAACGGTGAGTTGCTCTCGGCACCGTTCGTCGTAGATTTCATCGTACCGAAAATGTATGCCGAATGACATTTTAAATGTTTTAAATAATAGCAAACATTAAGATTATCGTGTAGGCACACGTTGTTGTGCATTACATTTTGGATATCGTATAGCTTCCACATGTAATTTTTTCGGTAAAAACGATTTTGGAAATCAAAACAATCGTATTTCTAAAAAAAAAAAAAACGAATTTATTTCCAAGAACGATCAAGTTCTTTGGACAGAGGTTCGACTGTGCACCGTACGGAGGTGTGTCGGAGCGATGATGTATCGCGTGAATAAAAATCGGAAGTTTTCGAGGTCGGCGGCGGTAACCGACGAACAATGTACGAAAATTACCAATCATTTAAATGTATTCCCCCTCCTCCCGTCGCAAATTCCTGTTAGGTCCGGCTACTGCCGTCTTTAACAATTATTATTGTAATAACTATTATCATTATCGTACACCGTGTACTACTACCATTGGCGCTGATGTTGTTGTTGTTCGTCAGCAGTTTTTCCCCCTTTACTCGTGCTGGGAATAGAAAAAAAAAAAAAAAACCCAATAATCGTTACCTATAATCGGCCGAAACCCCCTGCCACCAAATACCGGGTGACTTCGAGCGTTCCCGGAGGACTCGCGGCGACGTGCGTACGCCGCGAGCGCCAGTCGACCGCCGTGAACAGAATCCGCAAGCAAATAATTTATTCGTACCGGCGATCAACACACGCGCACACGTTGCCCACACGCAAGCACGCACTTATCTCTCCACCCTCGCTCGTTCAAACCGCGTGCGTATTACGCCGTCCCCCCCCCCCGCGATTTCGTATCGAAATTTATTGTTCGTACGCGTGGATTATAATACAACACACCGTTGTAACAATTGTCGGGTATTAATTTTGCCGATTATTTATACAGATCTCGGCGATTTATTGCCGTTTTTATACCTGCGATAATCCCCCGCGCGCATACCGGTCGATCGTGCTCTACGACAAACGTTGTACCTGTAACGTTTTGTTTACAGCTTTTTTTGTTGTTTTTTTTCTCGACTTCATAAACCGTTTCAATAAAAATATAAACAGTTTCGATCGAAAAGTGCGCACGTACCCACAACACACTACCGCCGGTCTGCGCTCCTGACCTGATCCACGTCTAACGCTGTAACCATGGACGATCCTTGGTACAAGTCGGTGAGTATTTCGTTCTCGTCGAACGGAAATAATTATGAACATCGTTATTTTATTAATTATTTTTTTCTTTTTCGAACCATGTGCCGTGAATAATAATTCTCAACTATCAGTTACAGTTAACATTTTTTTTTTCGATTTTTGTTACAGCTATTTTTTCACAAATATTTTAATACAAATATTATTTTCCGCGTAGAAATACACGCGTGGTATAATTATATCGAAAAATATTTTATGTAATAACATTGTAAAACACCACGGACATTTGCTACATCTTTTGATTAAATGATTTTGAAACACATAAAAAATTTCAAACTATTCGACAGTTATTTCTACATTTAGTAAACCTTTCATAGTATTAAATACATTTTTTTCTTCTTTTTACACTATGTAGAACAAATAATTTGTTAAAACCCGTTCAACAATGAAACATTAATTAAATAAATCAGATGTACTTATTTATTAATAAAATATATTTAACTAATAGTTATACATGTATTAGTCGCTGCAGTAATCTAAATGTGATAAAATATAAGTTTTATTTTGTTGTACTTACTCAGATATTACTTGACATTAATTAGTTTCAACAGTTTATTTCAACACGCTGAGAAATTTTAATATTGTATATTATTTGTATATTTCAGGTTAAATATTCATTAAAATTAACATTAAATTTAAAAATATTAAAATTAACAGTGACTCAACTTCATAAACAATATTTATTCAATATATTTTAGATTCACACAAATATAGTAATACATAATTTAAACGAGGTGATTGGTTTGTATGTACCGTATAATTTTACCTAAACATATTTTAATGTTAATATATATGAAAATTATCTTTTATTGCATGATTATAAAATATAAGCATATATTTAAGCATTCAATATTGTTATAATAATATTAAAATAATTTAGATCAAAATTTTCCTTTAATTGCTGCTTGTGAAATTGATTTTTTTTATCTAGATAACAACATTCATCCACACACAGCTTAACAGTAAAACTATCAGTTTATCATTCACTTTTGTAAATGTCAATTAATGAAAGAATAAATTGGTTAAAAACTAAATCTGGAATAAACTGCGTACGTTTGTGTGTTACGTTTAAAATACTTAACTCGAGTACATATAAATAGCTCATAATCATCAGAATAATTGAACATTTAATAACATTAATGTCATTATTTTTAAATGAAAACTTTCCGCAACTTATGTAGGTACCATACAAATGTAATATATATTATGTTTTACAATAGTGAAAATAATAGTAATAACAAAAAAAATTTAATAATTTAGTGTTTGGTGATATTATAGTATTAACTTATGTATTAATCGAAAATATAAATCGTTAAAATGCTGATTAATAATTTAGTTAGGCATAAAGTTTCTAGAGCCTAATTCGGTTGAAATAATTTTAATTATAAAATATATACTGAATAGCTTATTGAAAGTCAAGAAACATTTGATTAGGACTACCAAACAAAACAATATCACACAAATTAAGTATTCATGAAATTCATAATATAAATAAAATATATAATATAGACATAATAATTAAGAAAACCATTTAATTTTCAATGGCCAATTAATAATTTTTTTAGCAAAAATAATATAGTTTTATCGACATTTCTTAATATTGTATTATAGTGTCATATTAATTTTTTAAAAAAAGTCGTAAATTAAAATTGTACAAATTTTTCTTAAACATTAATGGACGTATTGTTTGCATTATTAGTAACGGAGAATAGGTAAAGACAAATGCACAACTATAAATGTAGTATTTTGTTCAAGTGTCACTCGTTCTTCCACCTTACGCTTCATGGTAAAATTATGTTAAATTTACATGTTTCATAGTTAATTTTGGTGCTTATTGACTGATCTTGAAGTTCTATCTCTCTAAAATTATAGAAATTACTAAGAATAACTAAAAATATTCAAATTATAATATAAACGTGTAATGGATATATAAACTATCGATATTTTCCCGTTGAACATGTGGTTAAATAATTGTAAATAAGAGTGGAAAAGTTATTTTGAACTGAACAAAATTAAAAAAAAAAAATTTTTCGTATATTTTATTTATTTATATATTTTTTTATATGTATTTAATATATTTCAATTCAAGTTAAAGGTTATGTTTTATTTCAATATAACACTTAATTTAATTAAAACTTGAACTATTTAAATGATTTAAATTCTAATTTGAAGGTATGTAATGTATGAACATACATATATAATTCAGTATAAAATATTATAAATTAAAATGGTTGCAGTTTTGTGGCGATACTCATAAGCGAACACGAACGTTTTGGATGTTTGAACCTATGCACCTATACATCACTATAATATTATGTCATTGTAAATGATTTATGGACTAAGCCATATGCATACTTGCACGAGAGTTTTTAAAATATTATTCGGTACAGTGTACACCTTTTTCTATTTGAAAATAGTTATTTTTTACGACGAAATCTAATTGCGGTACCTATTGATGGTATTAAATAAATTAAAAATTATACCGTACCTTAAGATGTTCAACGTTTTTTTTTTTTTAGATATTTTTCTTTTCAAATCAATGTAACTTAAAAAAATAATGCAAATCCGATGCTTTTTCTCGCTAATGGAAATCAGAACTCGTATTTCGCATGCACGATTGTTAAACGTGTTATGATAGGTCAATAATGTTGTATATAGAGGTATTTGTGATAATATGCATTGAATAACACGAAAAACGATTGTGTGGAGTAATATTATTATTGTAACATGAGTATGGTATACATATTGTAATTTTTTTATTTTCTCCGAGATGATATCAATTAATAAAAGTTTTGAAAAGTGTGTGTTGTATCGGCGCAAGGAAAAGTAAAAGCGAGATGAGGGGCCGCTATCAAGACGTGATACAATCGAATTGTTCTAGTCGATATGTTCACGTGATGTCGTTTTGTTTTGCAACAGTGTTGTATAACCGACGATCTACGCGTAGGACACTGCGTTCGTCTTACGCACCATGAGTCGCACGCACTTGCTGAACAATAGATAGGATGCCGCACAATGATGAACTTAAAATATTTGTTTTCATTCAGAGGTTTAGAATTTCGCAACGGACTGTGCTGCAGTTGCTCGTCTCACGAGACACTCTCACACTGTCAACGAATTTCTGTCACTGCAGACGTCGATATTCGCTCGGTCATTGATAAACTCTTCTGATTTTTAAGACTAGTAATCTATGCCGATGACAAGTTCTAATGGTGCAATCAAAATTTATTTTCGAGTGGGAGGGTCATACGTTTGAAAAAAAAATTAAAATTGGAAGGTGTAAGGTGGGAAGAATCGGGTAAGGTTGAGTTGACTACAAATTTTTCAAGTAGTTCTGAAGAATATCCGAGAAGGTTAACCATCGAGTGAGTTTACAATCACCCATCCGCTTCATCGGTGACTGTAGTTTCGGCAATAACTATTGTTATTATTATTTGTCATGTGCTTCGGTATCGATCACGATAAACCCTTCGATTACACTCTCTAACTCGTCATGGTCAGTAATCCAAAAACGCTTAACCGACACTTCCGATATAATACGAGTAAGATCAACCCATAATTGGAGCGAATTTTTGTGCACGAATCCAATATTATAACGACTAATTTCACGTACGCCCGAGCAAACCGATTTTAAAATCGTATACAATAGGTTCTAATAATACAAACGCTATATGATGATCTCGTATTATCATTTGAATTTATTTTTAGCGCATACCTTCGTTTTGTATATAAATCAGAACTTTATGACGTTACTACAATTATACAAATTTTATTTTCGGGTGTCGTCCAAACCACCTACGTCACCGTATTCTATAAAAACAAAATACTTTTAGGTGCAATAAACTAATTCAATGCACGTGAAACCTGTGTACATAACATACTTCAATACTTCCACACGTACTTTCAATATTCATTTGAAGAATTAAAATACATATTTATTATATTATGAGTAATATGATTAAGGAGTAGTGATAAAATTTTTTTTTATTTTTTTCTGTAATTTGTGTTAGCAACAATCAGTTTGATGCACTTGCAGATTCTGAGGATCATGATGTGGTTATTTTATACTAAAAACTACAACACAGAGATGCATGATTAACCATTATGATTATTTGATGTTTATAGATAAATAAGAATTATTAATTATTATAATTAATATATAATAATTAATGGATAAATTATAAATTTTTATTTTTTTCCGTAATAGTTGTTACTAAATTATTTAGTCGTAATTACGAATAGGTTACAAACTAATAATATTTCAATTTTAAGAATACTTAATAATTAGTAACACTGTTGTATAATTTAAAAAATCTCTTACTACTATATCTATTATTTTACATATAATTATAGAATTAATTAGTAGAGCAGCAATCAAATGTAAGTGGTATTGCTTAATAAAACACTAAAACAAGGTTGCCTAATTGAATATTCTCTATTATTACTAGAACGAATAATATAATTTACAAATATCATACTAACTAATTCATCATCATTCCTATATCATTTTACTCAAAAAAATTTCATGGACGATATTAAAACAGTGTTTAACAACATAATAAATTTATGGTCTTAATTCCTTATAATTGTATTTATCAATAAACTTCTGAACTTGAGGATATTTAGGCCATAGCATTATAGTAGTCAAATGTCCGTGTAAATTGGATTTATAATAAAACTATGACACAATAAAAAAATAAAATGTAAATGGTTAATAAGTTTATAGGAATAAACCTAATGAATTCGAATCTAATACAGTTTATCTTTATTTACATTTTTCTACGCATTAATGCATTATATCGTAATTCTACAATAAACAGGTGAGCTATTTACTTGTATACATATCATGCCGTTTGCGTGAAATTACTTATTTCATGAAATCGACAGAAAAATGAACAATTTCATAAAATCAGCAACGCCGTTGCTGAATATACGAATTCGGTAATATGGTTACCGATTTCATTCATGAAATCGGAATCATTAACCTGTTAAATTTATAGTTTATAAATGTTTACAAGGCAATCGGCAATTTCTCGAATTTAGTGTAATATATATATAATATTAAGTTGTACCATTATTTTCTCTTCATTGCGTATTTACACATATTTTTCGAATAAATTGATATATTTCTTTTTTTGTTGGTTACTAATGAATCTCACGTATTCGTGGACGTTCTAGGAAAGTATTTGAAGAATTTTGATTATTTATGAAAATCATAAAGTTCTGTTGGAATTTCAACAGTCAACCATAATAGTCGTAACTTGTTTTTCTTGTAACACGAAAACGGTGACAATTGAGTTATAAAAATATGATTCTCATTGTACACTTTTTTTTTCGATTGGAATTGTTATTACTCTGCAACTGGTTGAAAATGTGCCAGAAAGTTGTATAAACGTTGCAACAAAACGATTGGGTCGTGTTTGTTTGGCAGACGGATTCGTTGACATGGGCGTTGACGAGGAAGAAGACCGAATCGGAAGACACGGGCAAAGAAAAACTGAAACGAGTGTTGACGTTCTTCGATTTGACCGCACTGGGCACCGGCGCCACGTTGGGATGCGGCGTGTACGTGTTGGCCGGCGCGGTGGCCAAGTCCATCGCCGGTCCAGCTGTAGTGTTGTCGTTCGCTATTGCCGCCGTGGTTTCCGGATTTTCGGGTAAGGATATGCGAGTGTTTTTCAATCCTCGCGCACCGGAGGGGAAAAAAACGAAATCCAAACGAGTGTAACTAAACATTGTTTACGTTCTCGATTCAGGACTGTGTTACGCCGAGTTTGCCGGTCGCGTGCCCAAAGCGGGGTCCGCGTACATCTACAGTTACGTGGCCGTCGGCGAGTTCACCGCGTTCGTCATCGGTTGGAATCTGCTCATCGAACATCTAATCGGTAAGATCGGATTCGCCGTTCGTGCGTTTTGTCGTGCGCTCAGACAGGCGCGTTGCAAAAGACACAATCGGCCGCGAGAAACAGTCAGTTTCGAGCACGGGTTCGCGTTCACCGCGACGTCTGGAAATGAACACCTCACGGAGTCGATAGAAACGGGAATCATGGGCACGGTCACCAGTCCAAATGTTGTAAATGAGGCCCCACAGTTTTAAGCCTTTGAGTAATGGGGGCCCGTGTTCTAACCGATGTTGCTCGATGTACCCTGTTCTAAAATATTTGGTAGAAAATAAAATGATGTTTCGTAACGGAAGGATTAAAACGAAATTGTTTGTCTAAATGTTCGTAAAAAAACTCATTATGATTTAATGTAACAGCTACTATCGACTACAGATGTACAAATCATAAATAATTGAAACTATCTGAGATTAGTGGAAAACATATTTATCGGGACAGTTATGTATACAATGTTAATTAAAAAAACTAAATGTTAGTTTATTTAATTCATTGTACGTTATGATCTGTTAAATATACCTACACGTTTGCTTAGAAAGGGGGCTATTGAATGCACCCTCCGAAGTACTGGTCCGCGCACGTTTATGATGGAAATAATTTTTCAACGTATTCTATATAAACGTGTGTATGTGTGTTGGGCGAAATTTCAAAGATTTCGTGACTGATTTCGACCAAATGCAATTCTATAGATATTGGACACTCGGCGACCGACAACCGAACGGGAATAAGGGGAAACGTGTACGCAACTTAAATTGCGTCCACGAATACAGAAATATAAATACGAATACTAGAAACGTAATTATCTCGCACTCCTGAACAGTATATTGTGAACTTGTTGCTTCAATACCTACGGGCAGGTCATCCGGTGGCGTATTTTGCAAATGTGGGGTATATTCAGAATCGCTCTTTTACCGTTGATCTATACGTTCTTTATCAATAATATTATAACTATCGCCATTATACATTATTTATAGTATATTATTACATATATTTATATTTATAATTTTTTTAGTTTCGCAAGCTTTGTTTTCACGTTAAAAAAAAAAAAAAAAACACCTGAAAGTATTTAAAATGTCATCAAAAATACTTTATGTTGAAAGTATACAATAAAGCAATCATTACTTAAATCCTCGAATACTTAAATTCAATAATAATTATAATGTACTCATATTTTTTTTTGTGAAACATTGTTTAACTAGGAAGTCTTTTTTAATTTAAACCACTTATAAAATACTTTGAGGTCTCAAATTATAGTTTAATATCATGTCAATAAACTGATAAAAATTAAACATTTCGAACTTCCATGGACAACAAATATAATGCCCAACAGTTTGTTAGGAAATTCGGAAAGATTGATGACAATAATTGGATTTTTGGGATTGAGGTGAACAATGGTAAAAATAGTTGATCAGTGTATATATTTTTATTGATACCTGTTCATATCTTTACTTAATTATTGATAAGGAGATATGCGATTATGTTGAAATAATAAAATACCCGAAGAGAATGTACAGGCCAATGGTAAAATGGCAGTTCTAAATCTGAAAATTTCGTATTTTCAACATACGCTACCCAGTGTATGCTTGTCGCGGGGTCTACGTCATCATTGCGATTCCTGTCGGCATCGTCGTGGATTCATGATTGTTTTATGCGCAGGAACCGCGTCCGTGGCCAAGGCTATGAGCAATTACTGTGACGCGCTGCTGGGCAGTCCGCAGAAAACGTTCATGTTGGAACATTTTCCCATGCACGTCAGTTTCTTAGCTACCTATCCGGATTTTGCTTCGTTCGTCGTCATATTTTTCATTTCACGTAAGTACACGCATAGGTTAACGTAAGTACGTTGAGTCGTTTCGTAGGAATGATAGTTCGATGGTGGAAGCGTATTTCAAAATATTTTAAGGATAATAATTGTAACGTCAATGTACATAGGTGCAAATAGGAGGCTTGGGGGAGCTTAACTCCTTAAATGTTTCTTAGCCCCCAGATCAAAAATAATAATTCTCAGAAGTTCGTGTTTGAGATTAAGAAATCTAATCAACTATAATCATAAAACACGAAATATTCATTAAATTGTTATTCAGTGTATATGATCTTTTACTTAGAAATATCAAAACTCAAAGTTTGGTTCATAAAATCACGTGTTTTCCTTTTCTTGCTAAAATTTGAACCGAAATTAATAGTAGTAAGCAGTGACAAATTTTGTGTGTACGTAAAATAGTAGATGCAATGGTGTGTGTAGTCACTGCGGGTCTGTGTTATCTTGGTTCTTATAATTCTCCAAAACGTATGTTTTAGCTGCACCTATGTCAATATAATATGTACGGTTTGTATTTGAACGATTTCTAATGGAATTATTCCCTGTTCTTTATTTTCGGTGATAACATAATTTTACGAAGAATAGTTGAATACGATTGACGATTGTGAATATAGTATAATGACCCTACTTATGTCAATAATTACTAAATTATCATTCATAATAAGATTATGTAATCGTAATTGTTATTAATGAGCCTCATTAAAATGGAATAAAAAATAATAATAGTAATAATAATCTAAGACTATGGTGTAGTATCATTATTATATTTTAGATTGTGGGCAAGGCACTGGAAATGTACAGTTATTGTACAATGGTGGTGTACTATTTTATTTATTTTTTATAAAACTTTAGAATTTATTTTTTCCTTATGATTTCTTTTGTCGTTACTTTGTTATTAAGGTCAACAATTTCAATACAAAGTTATATAACTTTATTAAAAATAAACCTTTAATGTTTTGAATAATAACATTTTATGAACACGATAATATCTTTACTATTTACTACTATTTACTACCAATCCGTGTTGTGCTCGGAATCGATCGAAATTCATTTTCAAATTTGACCATTTATTTGTTGCTTTCAAATGTAATCATATATATGTTATTTTTTCAATGAACTATTCAACTTCAATAACTTTTGTGTGTCTGTAATTGATCTTTTTTCGGTTTTTTTTACAAGCGAATTTTGTTACTTCATTTTTATTTATAATCATATTATATTTATAAACATTGACGATTTTACACTGGGAAAAATTCAAGCCTCTATGATAATTAATTTATAAATATTTACAGAAAATAAACTATACGATAATAGAAAAATAAGAAATTCTATTCTGGAAAATAATATTAAGCATACTCGTATAGTAAAACTTACCAACATTAATTAAGATTCCGAATATTGATCTTTTAAATTTATAGTAAATATTTTCTATTTAACTCTTTTTTCGATTTGGTATACAAATTATACCTACAACAAATATAATTTAAGATATTATAAAATATAAATTAAGGTTTAACTTGCACGGACCATATTACGACCACGAAACGGTGGTCGCACGTTATCAATTCAATATATAAAATAATATGAACGCAAAGGTACAGAGACGGATCATTTTCTAACGTTACGTCCATTAGCAGTAGCAACTTGTCGACGGTGACACCCACAAAATTGTGGTTATCGGTGAGCGTAACTTCAATTGCCTTTATATCTTAAAGAATTATATAGTAAATTAAACTTACTTTGATTCATATTTTCAATTATAGGATGGGCCTAAAAATATATTTTTCTCTGTTATCATTTCAAAATAAAAATTCTAAAATTTCTTATTCAAAAAAAAAAAAAAAATAATAAATGTAGAATTATGGAATGTATGCCATATTTTTGATTTTAGTGTGGTTCTATCATTGTCGGTTCGGACTTCTAACGATTTCAAAAAATGGTTCAATAAGTGGTTGATACACCGACAGCATAACCACATCATAACTACAAAAAAAAAATCGTTCATGAGTGGTCTATATAAGTTTAACCTAAGTATTCAATTAATTTTCTATTAAATCATTATCATGTTCTTAAAAATTATTTCGTACCATTAAAAGTAATTATACTAAAACATACCATATAATTGATAGAACGATAAATTATTCTACATTATTATTACACATTAATCTATGAATAATGACAAAGAAATATATTTATCTGCTAGAAAAATAATTTCTTTAATATTTGACCGATTAAACGTAAATTATAATAATTTTTGTCGATAAGGACGTCAAGTGCCATTTGCACTTATTATATTTAAGGTCAACATACTTATTGCCCTAAAATGTATTATTACCTGTTTAATAAAATTCTGTAAGATTGTTTTAAACATTTAAATATATAAACAATTCGCATCATTTCCGTTTTTTTTAATACAGTAAAACCTATACAAGATGGAACTTTGGTAGACGGAAACACCGATAATACGGAAAATTTCTTTGGTTCCGTTTCAAATACATAATTCATTCCGTCAAGACGGAAACCTCACTAAGCCGGAAACGGACATGTCTCCGTAATAAGATTGGCTAATAACTCTCGCTAAGATGGAAATATAACATGAAAAACCCAACTTGGAATGACTATAAATTTTACCATCGTATTTTCGATACACATACCGTGGCTGAAATTCAAGGTATCTCTGTTGATGTTGACCTGAAAGAATTTCTTCACTTTGATGACCAACTTGAGACTCAGAAAATCCACGATTCAGCTATATCCATGGTTGAGGTATCCATACATCAAGGCGAGATTTATGAAGGATAAGCAGAAGCGGTCCAGAGAGATTTGATAATCTAGCAGATACCCTTGGCTCTACACAACTGTTGACAATTTTTACTTATATCTGCATATTAAATTCTGGTAGATCCAATCCGGCCTTGAACAACATTATACAATACTATGCTGATCTTTAATTATCACCTATTATAATGTAACTGGGTAAATAATCATGATTTTCAGTACTTACGTACTTTTAGTATAATATTAAAATGTTCTAAAACAGTTAGACATTTATATAATATGATTCATATTATTATTCTAATGCTTCTGGACTGACACATAATTTGTTAATTATCATTGAGCCCAAGGAGATAAATCTCTCCAACTCTCCTGGATAGTCGTCTGGCGTAAGGACGAAAAGACTGAAAATAACGAAAACTATGAAGAACCAGAAAATCCGATATAATATTACAAAACCGCTATCTGATATCTCGAGGACCTACGAAAATTCTCCTTAACAATATCCAATACTGAGTTTTTATATTTCACTTTAAGAGTCAATAATTATGTAGAACGCGACGTCTTTCAGAATAAAAAGCAAAAATCAATCGCTGACATTTTTAAAAATATATTAATTTTATCATGTATACTGACTAAAAAAAATTCATATTTTATATAAATTATACTGGCTAAAAATTAATAACCCATTATTCAATTAAATATTATTTTTTTTACCCTATCAAGATGAGGTCTCATTAATACGGACAAATTTGACGGTCTCAAGCGAATCCGTCTTATTGAGGTTTTACTGTATTTAACTATTGAAGAGCTTATTATCTTTGCGACCGATTGATATATCATTGATGTTGTATCGTATTCAGGAAGCTATCAAAAATTAACGTAGTTATAATAATTTTTAATATTTTTCAAAGGGTACCATGTTAGTAAATTTAATGATAATGTCACAATCTAAAATAACCAGGAATAAATAACGTTTAAACCAAAAGTACACGTCACTGAGGTTTGCTTATTAATTATGTGATTAACAATCGTATTCCCGTTCCCGAAATTCAGTTGTTCTACTTTACAAAGGAATGATGGATTGTCTCCTGATATACTGTGAATTAATTGATATATGAATCAAAAAGCTAGATAAAAATCAAAAATAAAATAACTACAAGAGTTTTGTTAATCAGAAATATTTGTAATTCAAAATATTTTATTTTCTATTACTACTTATTAGTTATAGTTAATTCAATCATCATATATATAATAATTTATTATTAAAAAAAGGAGCACTTGGTAAGAAAAGGCATTATTTTGAAGGCAATCGGTTAACGGTGAATAGCGTTTGAATAAATAATTAAATATTGTTATGTAGTGTTTTTAGAATTGGATATAGTCACACCCAAAAAATCATATCCACTACTTTCTACAGTATATTATAAATATTCATATTATTAAGACACCATATGATTGAATTTGTATGTTATTTTTATAGTTTTGGTAGCTTGGGGCGTACGTGAATCGTCGATTACCAATAATATATTTACATCATTGAATTTGATAACTGTTTGCACTGTCATTATAACAGGATTTTACAAAGGTTTGTACTATAATACATTTTACCTCTAACTGTATTACTAAAATGTTGGTCCAAAAATATCTGATTACAACAAATTATGCCCAAAAACATTATAACACACTGTTTGTACAGTGTTACTTTGAGAATAAAATATTGAATTTTGATATTTTTTATTTTAACCGTTCGATTTTAGCAAACTTTGCCAATTGGTCTATTCCTAAAAGCGAAATACCCCCCGAAGCGAAAGGCGGTGAAGGTGGATTTTTACCATTCGGCTGGGTTGGTGTGGCCGCAGGAGCTGCGAAATGTTTCTATGGGTTCATCGGTTTTGATTCAATCGCCACGACGGGTATTAGCGCCGCACATTTACACTAAGAGTCGGTTGATCGCGGTTAAATTTTGTATTATATTTCTCGCAGGCGAAGAGACAAAAAATCCTAAAAGGGACATACCGTTGGCCATCGTAGCGTCCCTGTTTCTAAGCACTATAGCTTATTGCGGCATAGCCACTGTTCTGACTCTAATGTGGCCTTATTATTCTCAGGTATGCATTCGATGTTCTTTAAGTGGTCGAAATTTACCAACAGTTTTAATCAAACTTTTAGGACCCGGAAGCACCGCTACCAGCTCTCTACGAAAACTTGGGAATGCCGACGATCAAGATTATAGTTTCTGGAGGGGCAATATTCGCTTTATGTACCAGGTACGCGTATCCGGAGTGACACACATTACTTGACATATTCAATGCACTATAATATTCCCAAAATTAATATCCGAAATAACGTGTGTGTGTGTGTGTGTGTGTGTTGGGACTTTTTTGATTTTTAAAAATTTAAAAAATTCATGTGCTCTAATATTACATACCAAAATTATAACAGATTTATTATAAATATGTATTTCGGAAAGATCGAGAGCCGTTCTCAAGAATGAACTAACAATCAAGGATTGGGAAACATTTAAAACTTGATATTATACAATAAATTTGTGTTTTAATAAAATGATAAATAAGAAAATAAAAAATTGGTAGGGAAAAGCGGTCTGTAATGCTTCTTTTGCGAGACTGAAACCTACGTAATTTTTCATAATTGTTCTTGCCTTCATTGTGATTTTTCACAGTCTTTTAGGCGCGATATTTCCGCTGCCCCGTATCTTGTACGCAATGGCCAGCGACGGTCTGATATTCCATTTCCTGGCGAACATCAATGCCACCACAAAGACGCCGTTGATTTCGACAGTCTTGTGCGGAATTTTTGCCGGTAAGTCGTGCTAAAAATGGAAGTCTCGGTCGACATGAATTACTATAATAGTGATATAATCGTGTTTCTTTTAGGATCTTTAGCCACCGTGTTTAATCTCGAACAGCTCATCGACATGGCGTCCATCGGAACCCTTCAGGCGTACACGATCGTATGCATATGTGTGTTGATTTTGAGGTTAGTCCGCTTGTCATTCCGGGTCGGCAGGATTCGCGTTGCCGGCACCGGCGAATTCAGGACGTTTCAAAATACACTGATCGTCGTCTCCACTTTTCCGCAGGTACTCCGACAACAGTCCGCAGTCGATCCAAGGTCCTGTGACATTGAAATCGAAAACCATTACGGCTCACACGTGGCTGAACTTGTCGAATACTAAAGTAACAAACACTGACACTCAATACGTCTCAAGAGTATTAATCGCAATATTCAGTACGTACCTATAGTGCTGTGTTACAATATTATCTTATCGTATGTGTGCTTGTTTCACCCGCCTGGTAAATATGCGATGAAAATGTTGTATCTGCACGTGGGTATCAATATACCACAGACAAATCAAGTGTACTACAATGCAGATAGTGCTATGAAAGTTGGACAACGTCAATTAAAAAAATAAAATAAAAATCCTTCATTATCGTACATAACGTAATAAGTCGAAAATTTATAATATCAATCTATAGATTTTTAATTAACCCCGAAGAAGCACATAATTACATAATCATATTAAAAATAAATATGTATAATGTTCATATTGTACATGCATAATGATTCCAATCGATTCCGATGATCAGTTGTTCTGTCCTCGGACACTTCTTTTTCAGCTTTTGTGACCGTTTGAACGTAAATTCTTTTACCGAAATGTTGCAGGTGCATTTTCCTTTGTATTTGGAATAAGTCTGGCGAACATGGAATCGCATTATGGCGCAACCAAAAACATGTTCATGATTATAAATGTAATATCGCTTTTAGTACTACTTATCACGCTACTCATGTTGAGTAGACTTCCAACAGCCGTTGAAGATCTGTCGTTCAAGGTTTGAGTATATTTTATGACGAAAACATAGTTATATTTAATACATGCTACGTCTGTATGCGCTATATTTGACTAGATATGGCAAAATATAACGAATAAAAAAAAAAAAAACTGGTAAGAAAAGTAAAACGAATGGGATTACTTATATTTTGTGTTTACAGGTACCTCTAGTTCCCCTAATACCGTGCTTGAGTATAGTGTTGAACGTTTACCTAATGATGGAACTCGAATACAAGACTTGGATACGGTTCATCGTTTGGCTTATATGTGGTTAGTGAATTATATATTAGCCTTACTATGTTATACGATCGAATATGTAAAGTATTAAAAGTAGTAAAATATTTTGTGAACGTGAATGAGAAGGGATGAACATGATTCTATTCTAAAGTAAAGTAGTCAAGTACTTGTAAAATAGTTTTAGGTATTTATAACGGTGTAATGAAATGTGTTTGATAAAAAATATGGCAACAATTATAAATAGGCAGGGTTTAAAGTGGGAAAAAAGGACAGGAGAGGGACTCTAATCCACTTATCATTCTTAGCGTTCCATATTTTCCCATACAATTACTAGATAATTAATTAAAAATAAGTATATGTATTCTAAGGTGAGGTTAGTGAACAATTTCCTCCACAAATTATTCATGTTTTGCAAAAACATATAAACTTGAAAATTACTAACTTATTGTTGTAAATAACAAATTTAAATAACTTTTAATAAAAAATTAATAACAAATAAAAATAGAAAAATAAAAAACCTATATATTATACATAAGTGTATAATTTATAATTGTACGTTTAATATGAGTAAGTTTTTTTTACATTACTGTTTAATACCTAATGAAGTTAAGTAAATTGCTCACCTAATTTTTCAATTTTTTTTTTTGCGTATGATTATTTTTAACAGACGGTTGAGCGTTTAGAAAACTATTCGAAGAAGTGATAAAAAGGATGCTTTATAAGCGCTGCAACAAGCCCTAAATGTAGCTATATTCACAAAAATATTGTTGCGCCATATTACAGTGGTGAAAAATTATTCTAACTTTAAGAACCAAAAATAATAATGTTCTTTCTCTCTGTGATTAAATTATGAAAACTATTGTGTATAACATGTTTATTAATTATTTTAATAGATTTATAGTATTTATTTAGCAAACAAAATGGAGAATTAATATAAAAAAATAACATTAGGCACTCAATATTCATTAATCGTTTTTGAAAGTAATTTATTGAATATTTTAATAACTTGTGCGTTCTCATCATTTTTTTGCGTGCTGTGGATTTTCCATCCCTATATAATGATATCGAAAATATTATGAATTATTTTTAAACACAAGTTACTCGGGTTATAAATCGCTTCTTGCTTATTTTTTTATATTTATTTATTTTTTTGAACTGCAGAGGTTTCAAAAAGTATACATGGGAATAACACTCTTGAAACTATCTTTCTTTTATTTTCACGCCAGCAGTTAATGCGTAGATATTACAAAATACAATTTGCCAAGATAAATACAAGAGAATAAAATATTTCTGAGGCATTTGTATGATTAAATAAAAGTGTTGAAATTACATAATATTATCAGAAGTGTAAGAAATTTGAAGTTTGAAAGATAAACGCGTTGGGAATTCATTATTTCCGCCGCGAGCATCTACACACAATCACTCGAATACCGTAAACCCATCGATTTTATTATATTATTTTTGTCCATATCAATAGTTACCTATAACATGATTGGTAATAGTAATATTGACATTGCTAAGAGGCGGCACACGTGTTTTCGACATGTGAGCACTTGATTTGTGCGCATGATCCGCAATTTATGTAAAATAGGATTTTACACGAAATCATAGCTGCAGCTAAATTAAACATAATATAAGAAAAAATATAAATAAAATATTGTTTATATTGCATTTACTATGAATGATTGGTGTATCGCATCGAAATGGATTATTAAAGTGTTTGTTCCATGGATTTAGATAGATCCCTAGTCTGATGCAATTGTAAATATTAAAACAACTATTAATAATAATGAGTGTTTTCGATGTATTTGTTTACGTATTTTATTAGATTCCAATAGTGTTGCTTTCACAATCTTTGCATTAGATTATTCGTTATATAAGTTTGTCTTGTTTTATTGTAAAATAATTATTGTTATATTATAATGCTGTTTTGTCTATCGTAGGTCTGATGATATACTTGTTTTATGGAATCAAACATAGTGTAGAAGGTAAGAAGCAGAAAAATGAGCTCAACACTATTCAATTCAAACCAAAAATATAGTAAATCGACCAATAGTTCAACAATGATCTACAATTTCCTTCACATTTTTTGTGTGTAGGTCGATCTACATGACCATTTTGAAATAAATTTGGTTTTTTTTTTTTTGTATAATTTAAATTTTGATTTTTATAAAAAAAAAATAATGTACACAATGTTTTAGAATATAAATTGAAGTATAATATTATATTCAAATTGTTACAATGTTAAAAAATATAAATAATAATAAAAATTGTAGGTCCACTATCTGAGATTGATGATGAGAGAAATATCGCATTAAAATAAGTTTTGATTTGTGTTCTTAGAATATTTACAAGTGTTTTCGTTTAACATAAAGTATACAAATTAACATATATAATACTAATATACTATATATAGTGTATAAATCATATATAACTTAATGTATTTGCCATGATAGTATATGATTTGTTTGTACAATTTTATTTAGCAAATAAATTAAAATATTAAAACAACATAATATTATTATTATTATTATATAGTTTAAAATATCATTTTTATACAATTGACCTATTATTATTTTATCATATTTAATAGCTATACATATACAAACCAATCTATAGTTTTCTGTTATTTAATTAATTATATTATTTCTTTTTTTTAACTTAACAGGTTATAATATTTAATTTAATATTTTAATTATTTATAAAATTTTAATTATATACTATTTTTATTCAAATAATATACTGAATATTGATTTTCAAAGTAATAAAAAAATTTAAGAAAATAAATATATTTATATAAAATTAAAGGCAGAGATTGCTAGTTTTGTTTGCAAATGTTTAATTTATTATTGAATTTTTCGAATTATAATCTATCAAAGCACAAACATACTCGAATAATATTTATGTGAATTGTTTGATGAATAGTTCGATGTATTGTTTGATGTACTGTTCGACAAACAATGAAAATGGAACGTATTCTTTGATGTTACACCGAATTATCAATGGTTGATGAATCGCCGGTTTGCGCATAAGTAAGTTTATAAGTTTGTCGTTTTGATAACAAAATGTGCATTGGGCGTTCGTAAAAATGTTACGCTGGTGAAGATGCACCTAAAAGTGTCCTAAAGTTTAGATAAAGTTGTGGTTCAAGTCGTTAGAATATCGATGAATCAACACAATTTTTCATCGCTGTTTTTTTAAATACTTTATTCGTTTATTTTTTTTTCGTTTTAAGTCCGTCAAAGTCTATGGTTTACGCACCGATTGTAAACATTTCCATGTTATGTTGTTAACCAATCCATATGTATAGCTATTCTATTTTGTACAAATAGCTTTTACTTGTGTCTTCGTTTCGGTCAAATATGTCACATAAAATAATATTTCATGTAAGTTAAAGAAAATAATTCGGTTTATTTTGTTTAAAATCGAAAAGAGACTGTTCGTGTGTGATTTATTCAAGTATCGATAATATGCAACCCAGGCACAATAAGTTAAAACGTGTCATTTTCATGATAAATTGAAATACCTCCAGGAAAAATCTGTATTCTATAATATTATACATTTAATTATTATGTATCACTTTTTAATTGTACTTGAAATTATTATCAACACTATGCCAATAAATGTTCTACTTACTCTACGGCACCAATTAAGGAGTTCGTGTTTGATTTAATTCTAAAATTATATGATGGTAGATTCTTAACCATCAAGCTTCAAAAGTGCGCCTAGATGTATCTATATATGAGGATAGGTCAGAGAGTATAGTTATGTAATTAATTCCGATGCACGTCCATGATTTCATAAATAATAATAATAATAATAGTATTTTATAAGCATTTATCAATTTGAGCGTTGTAAATGAAATCATATATGAAAACATTGTTAAGTAAAAATAAAATAATTACCGTGTCAATAATATTAAATAATAATATTGTCAGGCTCTATCTCTCTGATCGACTAGAAATTTGAAAAAGTATCTACAATGAAATTAAGCACACTGATCACTCCTTGTAAATATCGAATCACTCGGTTCACTAAAAATTAATCGTTGGTCGACCTGTTTTCCGTAAAATTACATAGTTTAATTAAGAATTAGTCGTTTCCTGTAATTGAGCACACCATCGTGATTTAGCTCTGAACCACGACCTCGGCGTTAGTTAATCGAGTATTCGTTGACGTCATATTTTCACTACAAATTCAAGTTTCGTCTTGATTGTTTAACTTAAACCATTTACTCACTAGCGTTAACATTTTTTACTATGTTGGAAAACCTCAAATGTGCCGTAAAATAGCAAAAGTGCCCAAGCGCCGCAACTATGTTTGGTACTCAATTCGAGTTTGACTAGTTTAGTATAAAAATAAAAATAATAATAAATAATAATATCAGAGATCATAATTATTTTAATTAATACACAAACCGTTCGACTTGTGAAAAGAATTATTTTGTTTACTTTTTACTTTTCAACTAACAGTATTGATTGAATAATCTAAAACATATTGTATTATCTAAGTAATTCGCGTTTACTTTCACTAGTAATTCTTTTTACCAGAAGAATTTCTCAGGGTGTTACTGAAGTAGCTAAGCATATTTACTATACATTATATCGATGATTATAAATAAAATAGTATAGTATACATAAATAAATAATATTATTTATTTTTAAGTATGATCACTCTTTATCGCCCTGTCTACTGCTTAACTATATTGGAATGTGCTAAAAATTTATGTAACGTCATCATTTTCAATGATACGTTAAATCTAATTTTGAAGCTTTTATTTATATATCAGTTTACAGATCGTAAAGGTCGGAAAACCAATTGTTGGTTACGGTTCAATGTGGCTAAGAAATACGTTTTAGTTTTTTTTTTAATTTTATTTTAGTTTTTAATTTTCGATAAATTCTAACATTTTTAGGTCACTTAAATTTGCATTGAGAAACCAGTTTTTTAAAATATAACTATTTTGTTTAAACATCTAATTTTATGTGCAGCTATTTTACCTCGATCGGTTGACCGCGGTCAATTGTATGTGACCAATTTACTTATATTCTAATTTTGATTAAATTAATTTTTTAGATATCAGAATCAAAAAAATGTTCTTTAATTGGTAATTTAGTTATTCACGTCATGATGCATTTAAGAAACGAATTAATTATATGTAGTTACGTACAAAATCATAATTAATAAATTTATGTTTATAATCTTTGAAACTCTTCTCGTCGTCCATCAAGTATCAACAGAACTACAATCGACATATTTAATGATTTGTTGATATCAAACAAAGGTTTTTATAATAATCTAGCCAAAGCTTTTATTCGAAACCGTGTCACGTATTCATAGAGGTCATATACCATATTGAATTCGTCATCTCCGTCACCGACGGTTATAGGTATCTCCGATGTTAAATTTAATTGACCTATCTAATACTTACGGAAAACTGTTTTCGGGTATTGCACAGAATCCTTTTTAGATATGTGATTCAATAAGAGCCTAGTCTATTATTATTAATTCATACATGTCATAAACGTGCGCAGTAATGAAGTAATTATGTTGAAGATATTGCATTGTGTTCGCTTTTGGTAAAAGTTGCAGTCAACGTTGAAATCAAAGTGACTGAACAATATTTACTTGATCGCAGAACTATAACACTCAGCCATCTTAACATAACCATTATAACCATGGTTATGATTATTCGTAGACGCTAATTTCATGAGGCTTTTTTTTTTCTTTTTTGTAGTATGGAGACTTCTAATTTAATACTCGTGTACATTGAGAAAATAAAATACTTTTACTTACACTCCAAAATTATTGTCTAAAATAGGTGGACATATATATATATATATATATTTCTTAAATGGACAACTATAAGTTAATAACAGTAAAAAATTATGGTCGTTTTATAAAATTCGTAATGTATGCCGTGTCTATATATGGATTGATTTGTATAAATATGTTGGCCCGAGGAGCAATTATACAATTTACTGCCATTGTGAAAATAAATTTACTGCTATACGGCTATAAAAAATACACTTTTTTTCAGGTTTTAGAGATATTCGTTATGATTTATGAACGGAATTGTGAATGTATATATGCTCTGAACACTCCAAGAAACTGTCTTAAAATAGTATTGAAACAAATTAATAAACATTTTTGTTCCAATTATAATGATTACTACAGTCTGATTTAATATTCAACACTTTCAATTGTTTACAGTTTTAAAATGTATACAGTAAATCTAAACCATACCATTAAAAAAAAGAATTCTAAGAATCTTGTAGTTATGTAATCATTTGGAAATCAAAAAATTAAAAAAATGCCACAAAATTTAAAAAATATTTAAAAGTAGAACAATTTGCAATTGTTTCTACCACTATAAGACTATAGTCGTTTAGTAAAATATAATAAAAATAATGTACGTTACCCCAGCCATCCCAATTTTTAATTTTGCAATTTTTTTTTGCACCAATATTTAGTGCTCAATTCCTGCCAATTCCTGCCATATTTTCAGAATTCCCGCTGTACAAGTTTTTCCAGAAAGTCAAATTTTCTACGGGTGGGTATGTCTATATTAGGATTAGGTAGTTGTAGGAATTACATATTGTTCTGTATGTTCTCAATTTATAGCAGACCAAACTAGAAATCTGAAATATACAATGGTAAGTTAAAAGATTGAAAATTGAAAATGCATATTTTGCATATTTTGTCAATTTTAGCTAAAAAAATGCATATTTCATTGATCTTGCACTCGTATTATGTATAGGTATTTCATATTTTTCTAAAAAAAATGTTAATAATTTTAAAATTTTATTTTCCTTGTCTGTATATTTCTATTAATATTGAATACCTATATTAAATTCAAAATTATCAACGAAGATATTTATTGTCATTGTTACAGTCAAAAATTAATTTAATAACAACGATGTGATACGCATTTATTATATTATGCTAAAATACCGAAATACATTATATAAATATATATAAATATATACAATATATAATAAATAAAAAATAAATTTTTATCTTATCGTCAAAATGCCAACCAATTATACATTTTTTTCATTATAAATAATTTTTGTGTATATTATTGATTATTAACAACATCAGATAACATTAAATGTATTTGATGTGGTAATCAGGGGCGAATTTTCCATTAAGCACTGTAGGCTAGCTACCTAAGGCGGC